GCAAATTTTGCATATTTCAAGCAATAGGTACTGAAGCTAGAGAGTTACTGGAAGCACTAGACCCAATAAGAAGACGAAAGTATGTCCAAATGATAAGTTTCTTTTGAAGGGTCAGTTACAGGGTCCACTACTTACTGTGGGAAGCCATGACGAGTAGGGTACAGCAGGCTGAAGGTGAGGCAGTAACTTACCAAAGAAGACATTGCTTAGTGGTCGCGCTATGTCATGAATTGGTGGAAGTTGGAATTCATGGTCTGGTCATTGAATCGGGTCCCAGTGGCTCGCTAGCCTTGTAACCAGAAGGTCCTGGGTTAAGATCCCGCGACGTGGGTGCGTACTGCTGAAGAGTCTCAAACTATGACGAAAAAGCTGGCTGTCCAGTACTCCCTGCAGGTTTTCCAATGGTTCGCTAACTGATGTCAGCATATTCAAATTCACTGAAGGGGAATAAGTGTGTGTGTGTGAAGCTTCTTACATTTAGTATCTTCGTTTAAATATTTACCGACTTCTTTTCATATTTTATTTCCTTTTATCAATCACAAAAAAACTCTTATGTAGTTTCATGAGAATGGTGGAAATGTTCCATTAATTGGTGAATTTATATCATGGCCAGAACAATGGCCAGAAATACATCCACAATTATCAATGGCTAGTGCATGTATTTATCTGGTTTCATGCAGTGTAGCTACATGTGCTTTAAGTCCATTAATAGCTAGTGATATTGTACGTGATAAAGAGGTGAGCTAGTAATGTGTTATCGTAATATTTTATATTTTTTTGTTTTATTGATTTATGTATTACTTCATCACTTTATATCGTTTGTTTAAAGCTTCTACTATTTGCCTAGACTATGACTTGTCAGGTGAATGTGGCGTATAACCCCACAGACTGAGACTGTTTGAGATAATCTTCGATTGACTGATGTTGTAGTGGGAGGGATGATTGAAAATGGGATGAAAATCTCGTAGGTTGGCTGGTAGAATGCCAAACAAGCAATTCAGATGTCTCAGATTCTAATCCTGCCGCGGAACAGATTTTATTTCACTTTGGCTTTCAACAACATATCTTCATTTCATCTTCTTTTACTGCAGTCCTTTCTAGTTGCCTATATGCTTTCATTTCCTCCTCATCACCGTGGGACCTAAGTCCAACTCGTCATCGTTACTCATTCGCGCTCCATGCCTCGTTACTTTATGATCTGCTCATTGTGTATCTAATCGATCTCCACTCCCTTCTGCATATATGTTACACACGGATACAGAAGGCTTATCTGGCATCTGTCAACTTACGCCATTTCTGGCTTAGTAGACGTGATATCTAGCTGGCTGTCGACTAAGCGAAGTGTATACTGCTCATCAGTTCGTTCCCTTCTCTTTTATGGTTGTGAGCGAGACATGGCCATTGAAAGAGGAAGATATGAAAAGGTTAGCTGTTTTTGACCACAGATGTGTGCCTTCTATCTGCCATGTCAGGTGGTGATACAATAGGGTGAGTAATATTGAGTTGGTTAGGTGTTGAGTGGTAGATAAGGAGGGAAAGTCAGTCGACGAGGTTGTGAAGTTACATCGGTTGAAATGGTTAGGACATGTTTTACGCATGCCTAGTCATTGATTGCCTTCCTTAACGGGCGATGTTAGCTGACATAGGATCAGATTGGAAAAGAGCTACTGGTGGTCAAACCAAAGCATGGCATCCATAACAGAGTTAGTTTAAGCTAGTCAGCCACGTAGGGAGGTGTAGACTTCCTAACTGGTTGGTTGGGGTCCTCAGAATGGTGAAAACCAATGATGGCTGAAGACAATTATCGGTGATATGGCTCAAAATCGTTCTCACTGGCTGACACAAATTCATTCACTCTCTATGCTTTGTCATATCCGATGAAACTCTACTATTCTTTTTCCCTCACCCATACTTGTGTTATTATCTTTCTTTTGAACCTGTCTTTACACTCTTCATTTGCGAGTTGAAGTGATGAGCTTCCGTGCAAAGTTCTATGTTGAGAACAGTGAGTCAGTCCCGTCTACTTAAACGAGATCACACTATAGCGTGACATAGAACGTCTATTTATCAGTTTTCGTTTCAGTATATAATATATGCATGGCCAGTGACGTAGGCGTGATAGAAAATGTCCATAAAAGAATGTGTACATGTATGCTTTAATTCCAGATTGACCTTGATCACCATGTCATCATAAAAAGATAATCTAGTATTTATCTGTCTACATATCGATCAACTAAATCAATATGATTTTGCAACCTCACAGACTGACTTTCACTTCTTATCTAACACTCTATAGATAAGTATTCTAGAGTTCAGTATATGTCACACTGATGATTCATTTTAAGTTAATACAGTTGATATATACACAGATAATGTGAATTAATTGAATTGGAAAGGTAATTGCATAAACCAGAATAGCGCATTATACCGCAGTCGTGTTTGTACCTGATAGTCT